CCCTTCATCCATCAATAGCTATATATTGTATTTTCCTTTCCTAAGGAAATCAATCAAACCCCACTATTCCCTTATGCTATATGAAGTCACTGTGATTATATGGATTGTAGCTTGCTTATCATTGAATTAACAGATAATATCTACATATAAGTGAAAACCACACCATATTTGTCTTTCTGGGTCTGGATTACCTTAATCATGATGACTTTTTTCTAGATCCATCACTTACCTTCAAATTTTGTTATTACATTTTTAAAGGTTGAGTAATAGCCTATTGTATAAATACACTTCATTTTCTTTATACATTCATCTATTGATAGACATCTAGGTTATTTCCAGCTTCTGGCTATTATGAATAAATCAGCAATAAACATGGTTGAACTGAGCGGGTGTCTCTATGGTAGGATAGAGCATCCTTTGGGTATATACACAACAGTGGTATACCTGAAATTTTAAGTCAATGAGTTCTCATCTACCTAAGGAACCACCACACTGATTTCCATACTGGCTGTACAAGGTTATACTCCCACTAGCAATGGATGAGTGTCCTGCTTACTACACATCCTTGCCAGCAAGAGCTGTCATTTATTTTATTGATGTTACCCATTATGAAAGGTGTAAAATGAAATTTCAATGTAGTTTCCTTTAGTGTTTCTCAGTCATTTAAGTTTCCTCTTTTAAGAATTTACTATTTTCCATTACTAGGAGTCCTGGAGAGGTTCATCTTTATAGATTCCAGGAACTTTCCACTGCACTAGGTTTCCACATCATCTCTTAAATGGCCCTGAATTCCAGGAACTCCCATGGTCTGTAACTAGGCAAGGCTTCCAGTGATGGGAAGGGGACACCAGCCACGAAACTTTTGACCTACAACTTTCCCTATCTGTAAGATGTGTTGAGTGATGGTGCCTCAGAACTTGTGGGAACAGCCAACTAATGACTGGTCTAACTTGAGGGCCATGCCAGGAGAGGGAGTCCATATTTGACACTGCCTGGAGGGCCTTGAACCAGGGGCAGTGGAATCAGTATTTATCCTTAGTGCATGAACTGGCTTTTTGGAGCCCATTCCCTATGGAGGGGTACTCTCTCAGCTTAGATACCACCTGGGAGGGCCTCCATCCTGCCCAAAATGATGTGACAGACTTGGATGTAAAATAATCTTTAATTGAAATGAAAAATTTAAAAGATAAAAAATAATTTCCACACAGAAACAGCTGACCTGAACAAGGGGAGCACATGGACCCCAGACTAATGTCTGGGAGACCAGCATGGGACTGATCCAGACCCA